CACGTTAATAATTCTTCTTGAGCTAGGGAGAGAGATAAATAGTTCACATTATCTTCTTGCAAGGCCACTAAACAATAAGTTTATCCTGTTCTGGCTACTCACCTCTATGTACATGTTTCCATGGAGCTCAGATATTGCCGTTCGGGGTAATCCGCTCCGCAAGTGCAGCCCATCACAGTTTTGAGACACCACATGCTGCACCTTGAAGAGAATAACACACCGAGCTAACACCAGCAGAAGACTCTGAAAGTACTACCCAGACGAGGGTGACAGGTACCTCTCAATATATACGACTTAGCATGGTATATTGGAGCAGAAATAACAGAAGAACAGCATAGAGGAGAGAGTTTTATGAAAGCTAAGTGAAAAGGCTCCTACTGCTGAATATAGTTCTACTAGGTCTGGCTGATTTTGTGGCTGTGAGCCCAAACTAGCCTCACTAGGAGGCGAATGCAAAGTATTGTAGTAAAGGCTCCAGTGGAAAAACTGCCAGAGCTACAGCCTGGAGCTAGTCTAATAGGACTCTCCTCTATAGGAGCAGAGATGCTTTTTCCTCTATGGGTGTGTAGCCACCTGAGTAAGGACAATAATCAGGCAATCTCACGGAAAGCTTTTTTCTGTGTTGGGTTTCATTTCATTCAGACCAGGGCAGCAGAGCACAAATGGGATACAGAAAAATCTTACCAGGTTGTGCTTGTGTAGGCAGGCAATGCTCATATGGGTGAGTGTGGGCTCTGCCTCACTCAGATCCGTAGCCCTGACAAGAAGGGAAAAACGAAACAAAACAAAACAAAAAAAAAACCACAAAAACACAGAGTAGGAACTGTCATTAATCTTTCAGGTTCAGCTTTCTGCTTGACAGCTCAGAATTTGTCTCCTGAGAGGGTGCAGAACTGTCATTCCAGGAAAGAGGAAGGGAAAGAAGTTTGGTAAAGTCACCTCCATACCTGACGCTCCTGCCCTTCTGCAGTAATGTCCATATGCCATTAGGGCCTCTGTAGTCTGGGATTGAAGCTGCCTGTGTTATCAGGAGAGATGAAACGAGGCCTGACGCGAAGGTTCATATCTTTTTTTTCCAACTTCAGTCTTACAAACACATCAACCTTGTCTCACCCAGGACAACCAGGTACCTCAATCGCTAGTGCTTTCTCGTAAACTCCAAGCTTTCCAGAGCAGTGGTTCCCTCATCACAGGATAACCATCTTTTCATATGTTTTATCTCTTTTCCTACCCTACAGCCCTAGGATTGTCACCTCCAGTATTTATTTCCTCCAAGTTTATCATTATGAAATTCCTCCAGAATTCTCTCTCTTTTCCTCAGTACTTTCCATTTCCCTTTATAAAACTCAGTTCCTGGACCTCTCCTTATTTTCACTTGACTCGGTGACTTCTAGTAGCTTGTACTCAATGTTCTTTAGCAAACATGTTTATGACATTAGCACTCGTACACCCTGCCTAGAATCATGCTCCAAATCAGCACAGACTAAGGAAATAAAAGATAATGTTCCCATCTTAGAGTTCAGAGAAAGATGGCATACGACACATTAGAAGAGGCAGCACCAGAATTCCAGTCTCACATCAGGCACCACAGAAAACAGCCATTTTTTAACCATCATTTATAGTTTTTAATAAACACTAGCTATTCCTATTTCTCCATTAACATAGCATTAATTAACGGACTTAGTTTAGGCTTTGCACCAAAAGCAGTTGAAGAAAGATTTGAATGAAGTAAGACTAGCAATCCTCTTGTTTAAGAGGTGTGTTCTTCCCATTATCATACAGCTTATACAGCCTTAAAATCTTCTGCCCAAAAGGTTCAATCCCAAGATGCACACCAGCAAACGTCTTGGCCATGGGTTGCAGCTCAACAGTTTGACTATAGCATCCCAGGCTCATAGCATATATCATAGCCATTCAGAAACCAGGAAAAATTCCATACAACATTGCAACACTCCTGAAGGAGCTCCCAAAGCTCCAGCCACTCACCCCTAAAGAATCCTACCGTACTGATCCCTGCTCCTGTGTAGATAACAAGGTGCTTGGCGCTCCGGACAGCGGCAGCCAGCTCAGTAGCCTTTCTCTTTAACTCCTCTGGTTCGTCACATACCTAGAAAATACAACTGAGCAAGTTCACACGTTTCTGAGATGCTGCGTATCACCGAACCTGAAAAAAACGAGGGAATTTTTCCTTTAGGCTAGGCCAACATTGAAAGCTACGCATAAGTATTGGCTGAAGCAGTTTCTAAATAAAAGATGGGTGTTGTCCGTGTTATCTATGGAAGGTTTTCCGGGTAGCAACACATGCAGATCCGTCCTCCGAAAAGACACGGCCACACAGCACTCGCTCAGACGCGAACGCGGTCGGACAGCAGACAAGCTGGGCAGCCAGCTACGAGAAGAGACCGAGGGCGGAGGGAGGGAGCCGGGGCCCCGCTGGCGACGAGGTAAGGATGCGGCAGCGCGGCACGTCACCTCCGCGCCGGGGCCC